CCCGCGGGCAGTGAAAACTGCCCACCCCTGATCTAGACGTAACTTGAAACGTAATTTTTTTTTACTCAAGAAGAGACTGACCGATCATAGAAACCGTCCCAATTCGTTCTGCAGATTCTCTTACTTTGTTGCAGGCCGTGAGGCATCTTCCAGCGTCGCAGCAAGAGGAGTATCGGCGCTTGAAGCAGGAGATCTTGGAGCGCGAAAAGTTGAAACTGCAGAGGAAGGTGGCAAGTAACAATAGTAGTAGTAGTAGCAGTAATAAATTATCAAACTTAGCGAGTTCGTCAGTAAAGTCCTTGCCGCCGTGCGAGAAGAAAGCGCATATTAAACAAAATCAGAATAAGTTAAAAACGCCAGAGAAAAATTCGCAGGAAGCGGAAGTCGGTGGGAATCGGAAGTCGGTGGAGGTCGGAAGAAAGAGCAATTTGCCGAGAGGCACGCCAGAGTTAAACGTATGTCGCATGTCTGCTGACAAGAAGCTCTCGGCGAATATCGCTAAACATGCTAATCTCGCGCATCTGCAAGCTAAGAGCAGTAAGAAAGCGATACCGAACGATCTCAGCATCCGAATTTCTAACGTTACCGTCCCGAGCTTCAACGGAGGTGGGAGAAAAACGGTCGAAAATTCACTCGAGAAGCAACCCGCGAAAGACAAGCAGCAGCAGCATAAACCTGTCTTGAGAGCGTTGAGCACAGATGAGATAAATCGTAAGTGCATGCAAGTACTGTTGAAGCCGGATACGATCGAGCGAGTCGTCATTATAAATGATAGATCGATCTTGCGAGATGACACGATGGCAAGCGTCGGTCAAAGTGATGAAAATTTACCCGAGCCAGATGCCCGTGCGGGAATTACGAATGAGAAAGATTTAAATAATATCGATGATAATAATGATAGTACTTTTTCTAACGCGTCCACCGTGCTGCTTCATTCATCCGCGAATGTTGATCAGCTCGACGAAACGATGGAAACTACGCTGACGCTCTCCCAGTACGAAGCGGGACGTCAGCGAGAGAGTAATCGCGATACTTCAGCATCTGTACTTGCGAAAAGTAACGATAGCAATAACGGCAGTCACAAATCTGACGCGATTGCTGTGGATTCCCTAGCGAGTCTTCCAGAAGTGGAGCAGGAGCGACACTTGAGAGAGACCGAGCATAAATTAGTAGCGAAACGGTAATCATACGTAACTTTGCGATGAAATAAACTGTAAATAACGAGCGACGCGCTACAAAGTTTCAATATTAAATTGTGTTACGTGTGTGGTGCAGGTATATGGTCTTGGATCATTTAGCAGAAATGTCGGGGAACCTTCGCCAGTGGGACATGGAGAAGGACGTGCAGACCACCCTGGCCAACGAAGTGAAAAAACTCAAGGAACAGCTGAAGGTAGCCGAGGAGAAATTACAAGAGCAGCGTGACCGCGTTAGCCTCATGGGCCCAAAGGTTTCAACCGCACGCCAAAAGATCAATGTTGGACGGCGCGAGTGCGACGAACTGTCCAAAATCTGTTCGACCCTAGGTAACCGGCTCTTGGGGAAAAACTACAAGTACGCAAGTATAAGCGCCACAGACGTGTGTGGCTCATTTAATATATAATAATTTAGATTATATTTTGTATCGTGTGCAATTACAGAAATAAATTCTTGCGTTGTCTCTTTAGTGCATTTCAGATTATGAAGATTGTTCTTTTAGGTTGCCAGAAGCAGTAGCTCAACTTTTGAGTGAGAAACTCCAGGAGGTTGCTAATCACACCCGTCAGTTTACCAAGAAGAAGCGACTCCAATGTAATAATGTTCCTGAAAATTCCTATTCTAGTTTGTCACAAGAAATCTCGGAGAACACGTGTAAGGAGGAGAATTTGTTGCAAGAACATCCAACAATTGATGTAATTGTGCTTGATGAGTCGGGATCGAAGAGCGATACTTCTCGTTCGACGCAATCTAATGAAGATAAGAGTTTATCGACATCAGACGCTTCGTTGAATTTCTCGCAAGCGATTTCATGTCAGTCGACAACAGAGAAGAGAGTAGAAACTTCAACAAATACATCGGAACATTGCAACGAAGAACAAGTCACATTTCTCAATCGAGATAATGCGTTGTCTTCCGAACCAAAGCTATACCAAAGTAGCCATATAGATCAAAATAATGAGCATATGGAAGAAATTAGAACGGACGAGTCTGATTCCGCCGCACCTTCAGAATTATCGTCAAAATCGTCAGCGATGAATTCTTTAAGTCAAGAATACAATGAACAAAATAAGAGAACCTCACCGCAAATGCCAGTACCATCGTCATTACCATCGCCGTCGCCATCACCATCGCCATCGCCATCGCCATTGCCGTCGCCGTCGCCGTCGCCGTCGCCGTCGCCGTCGCCGACACCGACACCGACACCGACATCGACACCGACACCGACACCGACAACGACGTCGATAGATACAACAACGACGACAATGACGGATGCAACGACGAAGACGACGGTTGCACCTTATGTATCGATATTGATGCATTTAAAGAAGTCAAGGTGAGTCTTTCTTTTTTGAAAGATTGATCACGGTACTCGATCATCACTGTGCTAAAAATCTTGAGACTTTTGTGGTTTCTGTTACTTTTTACGCCAGGAACATCAATCTCCATGGAATCTTATGTCCATACGAAATGATGGGCGTTTGCAGAGATGAGGATTGCCAATACATTCACCAGTCGAGGAATCAAACCTGAAATAACGCGTACATACTACCGAAAATCAACGTGATATACGTAAGGTGGTTCTAATTTCTCGTCACACGTGTCAATGCGGATCGCACATTTTATTGTTAACGCATCGATTTGCAGATATTATAAGTTCGCGCGTTTAGTTCATTGATTATTTTGGCTACTGAATTCTAATCATTTACAATGTACATACTAGATAGAACCGCGTGCAAAAGTTAAAATAAGTGTACAGAAAGTAGCTTTAATCGTCTCCTTCAAGCAAATGTCTTTGATTTCGCATTTGCAGATATCATCGATTATATCGTCTAAGAAGTAGATATATCGATTAGGTGGGATTGCGTTATGCAGAGCCAACACCCGAAGATCGGTAAGTTGTCTTCATCCATGGCAGGCTCTAGTGCACAATACTGAAATTATGAAATTTTTATTTCAAAAATCTTACATTTTATGTAAGATCTGTTTTTTTTTTTTAAAAGAAACTCGTGTTGGTATATGGAGTTTTAAGCGACATATTCTATCCAAAGTTAAAAAAATTTTTTACCAGTGTACGTATTTTTTACAATTGTAAGAAAAAAGTGTCATAAACTGCAAGATCAGTCAGTGTTGAATAGATAAAAGAAGAATCTATCAACTACTACGAAGAATTAAGATTGAAAAGAAGAAAAGTCCAGCGATTATGGATCATCATTGAACGATCAGTTATTTCTTCTTCGTACTCTGATATAAGTTACCTCATATTAATGAATCTTGTACCTGTATAATAAAAGTTAAATATTTTTTTCTTAGGTAAAGTGTAAATTACATTTCCCCGTCTTATATTTCATATGCTTTTCTATATAAATTTATATAATTATCTCTTATTATTCATTAGAAATGCGATCGTAATAATGGTCTAATTATCCCATTTCACATATTATAAAACAAATATTTTTAAATTGTACTCTGGAAAATTAATCTTTCTCTTTCTTTATTCGCCGTATTTGTTACCAGGGAAATCACCCTGAGTTTTATATTTGTGCCAAGGTAATCTGCCTGTAAGTCTAAGTTCGTCCCAATGTTCTACCCAGGCCCTCGGACATATGGACGTGAAAACATCTTTAAACCACGTGCATGCTTCGGAATTTTCACCTAAAATATGCTGACAACGATAAAAGTCCGTATACATCACGAAGCATCTCTGTGTCTGATTCTGTTGCTGAAATCTGCAAACGGATAACGGAAATGACGGAAAAAGTGTTATCCTTGAATTAATTATGAATACTTCAAGTGTACCTTGGGTCATTACCAGGAGAAAATTTAAATTTCTGCTCCTCGCGAGTCTCATCCTTTTTCAGGCAAGGATCATCTTCATCTACAACGATAGTTATCTTTTTCTTTTCCTTTTCGTTTATTTTATGCTTCTGTATCGAAGCTGGCTTATCTACTTTTTCCTCCATTTCCTTTAAACACAATCACGTATGCTTTACGATATTAATAATTTCACTTCATATCCTGAATCCCTCTTTTTAAGAATGTTGAGTATTTCTGTCATTTATAAATTTTCTCTCCCTGCTTTTCACTTGTTTAAATTTCTGCTATATATACGGCGATTATAATTAAATTAGCATCTTTATTGACAAGAGACCGATCGTATAAAGCAGTACAAAAAGATTTCTTAACATAGCATACAATGCGCAACGCATAATTAATCACAGCTAACATAAGGCTATTTCGTCTACGTCTGTGATGCCGAAGCGTTTCCAACGTGTGAATCAAACAAGTCCAAGTCATTTCAGGTAACACACTATACAGTAGCAGTATATATCATTTTTACAGGAAAGGTATTCTGATATAAATCGTGATACATACGAGAGGACAAGCGCTAGCGACTAATGCGTGAATCTCATAAATCAAGATACAGATTTAACATTAGGCTTCCCGGCGAACACATTGTGGTAAACAACTAAAATCTCCAATGAGTTTGTCTTTCAATATTATACGCCGAGTGGTATATAAATATAATATACGCGCATATATGAACAATTTATATATAAAAATATCTATGTATATGTCAGTGTTATTGTGTTAAGAACACACACTTTCATCATTTCTTATATAGAAGCGTTGAATATTATTTCAAACTATAGTATATAGAAATGCGTATTTTCACATTTTATATTCAGTCGTAAGAGATAGACTCTTGGTAGTCTACGAAGCTCTAAAAATAGAGTGTCTGCGTATAACAGAACTCCAAACTTTCAAAATCATTTGATAATACAATAACCGAGCAAAAGCTGCGTTTAACAAGCAACATTAATATCCTATCAATCTGACAATGTCTCCGAAAAGCTACCGTTTGTGTCGCTTATAGAAAAAGATATATATATAAATATATATATATGTATGTATAATCCATCACTGAATGTAATTATAAATACGTAATTGTATTAGAAGTCAACAAGTGGAGAATAATTTTCAGTAAAGTTATTGATTCATGTTAAAATGTAATTTCAAGTACTATGATGTTGCATTATCGTCCACTTAATACTTCTATCATTAAAAGGCACTATTCAGGTCCCAATATTAATCGACGTCGGGATTAGGATTGCATCCTTGCATCCCTTCAGTTCCTTGTGTTTTTCTTCATTTTTGGAGTACATCTCGTACATCTCATACATACGCGAGGCAGACAATAAAATTTCTCCAAATAAAAATGCCTATATATTACAATTTGATGGATATGTCAAGATTGATATTAGTAAGTTATCGATTCTTAGGAAAGAGACGAAAGATATGTGAACGAAATGGTGTTATTAGATATCCATATATTAATATGTATACCTCGTTACCGTATCGTATTAACGTTCAATGTTACATTCCTTGACCAGTTTGGAGTCAAAGAATGCGCCATAACGGAAGAAACATAAATGCAGGATACCCTGTTTATATCTTGCAATTTGCGAGTCGAATTGACTAAAGAGCAAAGAAAATATTTATCGACAGGACCAGCCTATCTTGAAATGAACGATTCCGTATAAATTTGTGTGACAACGTGACAGCATGAATAAACCTTACGTTATACGCGCGCGCAAATTGTAATTATCTGAACGATGAGAGGTACGGCTGACAAGTCATGCGCTGTACCGGCTGGTAAAGCTTTCTTTGTACCGGACTGGCAGTAATATTATTATTCTGTCCGAAAGTATAGGAATTGGGATCCCTGGGCAGATCGACGGTGCCCGTTTCCGCGGGGTGATTCTCCTGAAGCGGCGAATCTGCGCTTCCGACCTGAGACTGCGCGGCGACCTCGTTCCTCTTGCGGAATTTCGTCGAGTACTTGTAAAAGTCCGACATCTCAAAAGGCTTCGTCACTTCCCTGTACGGCTGATACTTTCCCGGTTGCACGACCGTGCAGTTTTGCGGCGAGCCCAACGGCTGTACCGCGTTATCGCAGACATCCGGGGACGGTTTTGATTCGGCCGGTATCTCCAACACCTTCGGCCTCGTTGCGGGCTGATCGTAACGAGGGTGAGACGGCTGCACCGTGTGCTGCCGCTCTTCGGGCTTGTCTCTCTTGTGACGGTTCACCGGACTCAACGGTGGCGGCGCGCCGCCGGTCGTCTGTTTGTCTCTCGCGTTCTCGTTAGCGACGGTCTTTACACGAGCGGGCGGAGGACTCGAATGATAATGCGCGCTCTTTCGCGCGACGACTAGGTTGTGATCCAAGCCCGCACTCGCTCCCGCATCCAACGACGTCTCGTACCACTCCTTCTGACGACTCTTACGATTGTTGTTGGCGTACTCCGCCGCAGACGCGTCCTTGCCGTCGTGCGAATCGTGCGAGTGACTCGACTGCCAGGTCTCCACGCTTCCCAGCGACTGTGTGCGCAGCAGCATCTTATTGTTGTTCGCCGGCGTTTGTTGTTCGGACAACGGCAGCAGGTGGACGGAGTGATGCTGATGGGATGACGCAGTCACGTTGTTGCTCGACGAGCTTTTAGTACCCGCGACTGCGACCGTGCGATAACGCGATTGCGCATCCAGATTCGCACCACCGACACCACCGTTGTGCTGAGCATTTCGGCGTCTGCGATCCAAACTGCCAAATCTGTCAGGCTCGTCCATGCTCACCCAGTGGATGTCGTCGTTGTGGCGCACCCAGTAGCCGGCTGGCAATTGCGCCTCGATCGACGTACTGCCGCCGCTGTGCCGCGAGATGTTCTTGATACTGGATGGTAATGACGAGTCACGATCTCGTCTCGATAAAATCTGCTGAGATTGCGCGCTGTTCTTATAGTAGGACGAATAATCGAGATAATGAGACGAGCGGAAATCTCTGTCGTAGCTACCCTGGCTTCTCCGCACAATATCCGCATTGTCAAGATGCTTGTAGGACTCGAAGGAGCCTGTGTACGGCAGTCTATGGGCCTGCTGCATCTGATCCTGCAAATGCTGTTGCTTCTGCAGATGCTGGAACTGACGGTAGCGTATTTGACGCTCGTCCTCGGTGTAGGTGTTCGGCACGTAAGGTCGATACGTTCTCTCGTCCTGATAATGGCCGCGAGATCCGCCACTCCCGTGAGAATATGTACGCGCGCGATAATGCTCCGGTAAAATATAGATGTTGTGATTGTCGTTCTGATCGTGCTCCACGATCTTAATGTGATGATTCGGCTGTTCAACAGGGCTCACGCCGGGATAACTGCCGCTGTGGTGATGATGATTGCAAACGCTCGGTATCAACTGCTCCTCGTATCCATGCCCGGAATAAGTGTTTGATTTGTCTTCAGGTGCCAGGGGACTCAAACTAATACCAGGTTCGTGAAGTATACTCCTTCCAATGGACTTTGGAGTCGTTACTTCACTTCCTGTTGTGCACAAATTAAATGTTACAGATTGAAGCGTTATTTTGCAAAATTATAAAAGAAATTATAATATATTTCTTTCTCTTTCACACACATACATATATGTGTGTAACACAATACCTGTACTATCTAACGGTGGTCGTGGCTTCTTTGTCCTGTGTTTTACATTAATATGTGAATGCGGCTGAGTGTTGTAATTGCTTGCGTGCACTGGCAACTGCGCTGGCCGCTGCGTTTTACCACGAGTCTGCCTAATAAAGTTCAGCTCTGTCTCCAGCTCTTGTAACCTTCGCTGACTCTGCTGGTAAGCGAGCCTGTGCTTGCGTCGCGTGGCCTTACTTTCCGTAGGGTCGTTAATAACACTCAATGCAGTTTCCACGATCCCGAGCTGCACTTGCCTCTCCAACTCCAACTCCGACTCCTCCTGCGCACGTAAACAGACGATAACTCTAATCAGACATATCTCAATTGTTGTACCATTGTGCATCAGTTTAAAAGGAATCGTACAACGTCGGCAGTCTTCAGTTTGTTGATCAATTTTTGCGAATACGAAAAGGAAGTGCCTGCTTTTCTACGAAAAGCTGGCGGACTCTCGCCAGGCTCCAAAGGTATTTCCGGTGGCAAAACTCCCGTTAGTTCCGCCTCCTCGACGCACAGGGTTTTCAGTTCGTTGTTCTTTTGGGCAAGCTTCTCTTGCAAGGCTTCCCTGCGTTGGCGCAGCCATTGCAGTTTCATAGATAACGACGGGTCATCTGCCAAGGTTCCTGGCACATTTTCGTTTCCTGCCATCACTAAACAATTACAAGAGTCATTTCAGTAATTTATAAAAATCAGTCAAAGCAGCTAAAAGCAGCATTTTGTATTGCTTGATTGTACTTACCCATATTATTGGGCAAGATGTAGCAAATGGGTCAGCTGTAATCTTCACGTTCGTCCGGAACAATGCATCTTGACGGTAGCATATCCCAAACTACAGTGCCATTTGAATATTATTGTCACTTCATCATTAGGTCCGAAAGAGAATGCTGTAGTTTTCGCACGAGTCGCGCGTTTCTCCCTTGTAAGTAAAACCTGATCTGTCAATAGCGGGCAAAAGTTTCCAATGCTCCAAGACTGTAACACAGTGAAAAATATCCATTAGCAACAGTGTTTAAGTGATTCGTTGAAATTAAATGTTTCTTCATAGCTCATTTGGAGTTTTCTGACGCAAAAATATCTGGATTTCTGGTTCATCTATTTCATGATTACTTTTGCACAACTAGCTCAATCTCCCCCTGATAAACTTATCGAGTCGTTCCAAGCGTCTTCAAAAATGCATTCACCCCCGGTCACTCTCCAACAAAAATCCACTGTCTTCCGTCTTATCTGTCCTGTGATAACGCCTGGGTTAAACGTCGCAAAAACACACCGATCGCCTTATCAATTTGCGCGTGTCAGCCATTTGCTGATTGGTTACGAGAATCAACCGCGGCTCAAAACGTCGTGCGACAGCGGATTCGGGCAACTGAAATAAATTCGGGCTGCGTGTCATAACCAAGACTCGAGTGTTCAAGGCGAGTTGGATGATCGGGACTTTACACCACGGGTGCCTCGCAGAGGGGACTCGGACCTCGAGCGCCGGAAGGAAGTAAACAACGACGCCTCAATTACCTGGCCCGCGGACGGCGGCGTCGTTCAGCGCAACGCGCGAAGGAGAGGCCCCGTTGGCCGAGGAAGGCGCGCACTCCGGCTCTGAGTCACGCACTTTTTGTCAAGCGCGCACTCTTATCCGCTTCGCTTCCCCGAGCCGCGCTGGTATTCGCAGCATGTAACTTACGCTATTGACTTTCCCACCAGCTGCACCACGGACGGAAAGAATCCCACTCCCTTTCACCAGGAACGGGACTGTTGACTGTTGAAACGGAGAGAAGTCCGGGGGAAGGGGGGCGCGCGCGGACCGGAGCGGAGCCGGACGCGTTCGCGTTTTAAATGGAACTAGGGACCGTCTGGGGTCTCTAGGCCAGTGATGTCGGAGACTGGTCTCGTTTTCCGCGCATGCGCGGGGCTGCGTTCAGAAACATCACCCGAGCGTCCCAGTGTGTCGTTTTAACCTTGTTGCTCACCGTACGTTAAACAAAGATAAAATGATACGCTGGGGCACTCGGGTGATGTTTCTGAACGCATACCGGCGGATTGGGACTCAAGGAAGTATCTAATTATACCATTGAACTATAACCATACTGGAAGGAGCACTACCTACCCCCTCCATAGGATCGAGCGGTCAGAGAGAGAGAGTTGAGTGGCGACCTTAGAACATATATACCTGGAAGGGGAATAGTGATGCCAGATCTGTCCAAAACATG